TTTCAAATTGCAGCTTCCGAAACAAATTGTAAACATATTATTTGACGATTTTTCTGTTGACATATTATACGATACATATGAAAATATACCTATGTAATCGCGATCATTTTGTTTTATCTAAAAATCTAAACTTGGCTACATAGCATCAGGCTACTAAAATGTAAATATATAAATATTTACTTAATGTTTGGTACATTTACTATATAACTAGGTATTAGTTATTACTAGGTTCCAGATTTCAATGCAAAGTGCATCATTTTTTGGTTAATCACCGACAATGCTTTCCAAGTACATAACTCGTTTCATGTAACGAGTGTTTCAAAGCTAAACATTTTATTTTTCATTTCTTGCATATTTTGTAATTTTTTTTATTTTAAGAGCATTTTTAGCATTATTGGGTCATTTTTATGGTTTTTAATGCACATTTGTAGAATAGTTAATAATAATTTAGCGTATTTATTAATATATATTTTAGTACCTTTGTTTAGAATAGATAATATTGCCACAAAACATATGTGCGTTAACATCATAGCAGCATCGAGTTAATTTTTCCAATTTTTTTTTTTAATAATAAAATCTAAATTAAACTATTAAATTGTATAAAAAAAAACATAAATGGCATTTTTAATGTTATTTTTTATGTAAGATGCATTTTTTAAGGACATTTTTGGCTATTTTTTAGAGCATATTTGTATGGTTTTAAGAGCATTTAAATCAATCTGGGCCCTAGTTATTACATTCATAACAAAATCTATGTTAGTGAAACATATTATATTATAATAAATTGATAACTATATTATGACTGTACATTTAATGTCTCATTAAACCTTTAAAATACAATAAATTGCAGTTTAAAATGCAGTTGAAATTCCAATAACCAAACTGATTCATAAAATGTAGTTATTTAGAAAGATGTGGAACTATGGAAGATAAGTTTAAATAAATAAATTTATCATAATTATTGTTACAAATATAAAAAAAGAGGGGGGGAATAAAAAATATAATATAATATAAGCTAGTTTTTGAGTATTCAAATTCACAGCCCTCATTATAATAATAATAAAATTTAGAACGAAAATATATCCATATTGTTTATTTTAACCACATGAACAAGGATATATTATTACTATAATAATAGTATATAAAAATAAATTATAGATTATAATAAACATATTATACAATATATACAATATACATAATACCTATATAATATAATTTTTAAGATAATTAATGTTTTAATGTTGTATTAAGTTTTACAGTGAGACATAAACAATTGTCGTAAGACTATATATTATGCTTGACGTTTTTAGAAGTTTAAGACATTTATTTTCCTTCATAATCTTTAGGAAGGTGAAGATAGGCTATTTTTAGGAACCACTATATCCGTAATATATCGACGTGATAAGTTAAAAAAAAAAAAAAAAAAAAAAAAAAAAAAAGGAGTAACTTTGTAATTCTTAGATAGATACAGCATGAGAAATGTTAATCTTTTGACCTAAAGTGTGTATGTCGTAGCCATTTAGTGAAATATATCTTTTCATGAAAGTTTAATGGATGAAACGTCTTTTTCATACTTCGTGAAATACGAAATATTTTACAAAACGGTCACTTGTTCACAATGTGGTCATTTATTTTATGTAGGTAATATAAAATTTACCACACAAATTTAATCTTCTTATTTTTTTGTTATATTCATTACTATACACACATATTTACATAATATAAAATTGCGATTTGTATGTACATATAAATATATATAAATAGACAAAAATATACTAGTTTAAGTTAAGGAAAAAATAAGTAAATGGACATAGTTAAAAAAATATATTTTAAATTATGTATGTAATAGTTGTTTTTAATATAGTACTTCATCATTACACTACGTAGGACTAGAATACGAAATAAAAATTGCTGCAATAAATATACACGAATTAATTTTTGTTTTTTCAAATGTAGATGTTAGTAGTTATAAAATTGTCAATTAAGGCGTTTTTGTAATGATTCTATGTAAAAATTTTGGTTTTTGTGAATTATTCTTCCGAAAACACTATATTGAATATTTTATATAACATTTTTTTTTTTAAATTTTAGGTTTCACAACAGACTTCCATTTCATCCTAATCCCCTTATATCCAATATAGCTTCTCGCACAATTCCAGGCAACCCAACACGTCGACTAAAAAGAAATTGGTGTCGTGATTTACTAAATGAATAATCCAAAAATTAAAAAAAAAAAATATATATATATAAATACAATTAGGTAGTGCCTTCACTGGTTGGCTTCTTCCCTCACGATTTCATGTACAAAATATTATATCACATATTCTTATTGTGCCTAATGGGTACAGATTGTATATATCTTATTAAAATTAAAAAAAAAAAAAAAAAATTTTAGGTACTTTTATATTATAATAACTAATTTTTAAATATGCAATTTATGATAGTATTTTGACATGAAATATAAAAAAAAATTGAGGAAAGTCAAATTGTGTATTAGTTTAAATTTTTACAAAACATGTGTTGTACAATAAAAAACGCTGAAATGCAAGAAGTCTTGAAGTAAAATGAACGATGCCATAAAATAAAAAAAAATATATCTGATGCCAAATTGAATTTACCATTCAATTAAAAAGTGACAGTTTAGGAAATCAATAGTGAATACATTTTCGCTATATGAAATTGACAACTTTTCATGGACTTCTCAAAAATATATTTTACGAAGTGGCTAGGTACGAAATGCATATGTTTAACTGATTTGATCCGTTTAAATTAATTCACTTTATTTCTGTGYCAATATAAGTTACTTGAAGGTGATCTCATGCTCAGTTTAATCGTCTTTGCTTACTGCAAAAGAAAATAATTCCTCTTAAATTTTGTTACTCAAAATAAACACATCAATAATTATTTAGTCAAAAAAGAAAATATTGATTATAGGTAGAATATTATTTATTACTACCTGTATTAGGTATTAATCTTACGGATGAAATTATTTATTTTTTACTAACCTAATCTATATAAAAATGATCCTTATCAATCGAAATGGGATGTATTTAATGCTTATTTTGTTATACGTTGCAGATGAGGTCGTTTTAATTTGAAGTAATTAAAATAAC